TAATCAATTTGATTTAGAATGATTCTTTTTGTTCATAATTTTAATGAAAAAAAAAACCACTTCAATATTGGACTGCACAAGTGTTTTCCTTGTTATACTTACAGCAGAAACTGAAAGTTACAAATTCCCAAGAAATTCCTGCATCAATTTTTGAATCACATGTATTTGTTTTTAGCTATGATTATTGCAATTAACTTTCCCTTCCAGTGGACTAATAAATGCTTGGTGTAGTAACATAAGCATTTGGATCAGTTCTGCAGAGCATATTTTGAGTTAAGTGTTATCATAGCCCCTCCTACACCACTGTATAAAAAAAAACTAAAGAGACTTAAGAGATTTCCAGGTGGTATTTAGCCAGCACTGTTCTAATTAGAAATCACAAGGCCTACTAAGAAAGTGGTAGTGGTGATAAAATCATGTGTGATTTTCTTAAGAAGGTAAAAGGAACGCAAGGCAATTGAGGTTGAATCATTTCCTGAGTGTGCCTGTTATCTTTGACATCTTCACTGTCCACAAAATAATCTAAATGGCTAAGAATCTCTACCTACCTGGTGCTCCTAGACAACACTGATGGACTCTCATCAGCCTCCTCCCTTACTGCTTTTCTTCTTCCTCTCTTACATGTCACCTGCTCCAAAAACACTGTCTCAATAGGAGGGGTATGAAGTGTGGCAGCAAAGAAAATGATAATCAGCCTAGTTATAAGACAAGCTCTCATCTTAGAAAACCACCACCACCATCACATCCCCCACCACAGCTATGATCTAATTTCTGTACTCCTTTTTTCAGCAAAACTCTTGAAATAGGTGTTCTTATTCACTATCTCTACTTCCTCTCCTCCCCTTCTTTCTTGAAATCACTACATTCAGCCTTTCATTTCCATCAGTTCACCAAGCTGTTCTTGTCAAGGTCACTGACGTCATCATACTGTCCAGTCCAGTGCTTAAGTCCCGATCACTGTTGGCAGCATGGACACAGTTGATCACTCTGGCTTTCTTCACATGGTCTTGAAATAAAATCTCCTCTCATGGGTCTCTTTCACCTCAGTAGCTGTGCTTCACTCTCTGCTTTGCTGGTTCCGCAACAGTGAAGAGCTCAGGGCCCATTTCCAACACCTGTTCAATCTACAATCAGCCCCCAGTTGTCTTCCTGGACCTAATCTCCCCTAGCCATTCCCAAGAACGTGTTCTATATGTTGCTGTGGAGCGAACGTCAAGATACAGGAAAAAAGGGAAAAAATAAAAGATGGCAAGCTGGATGTGTGCAGGAGTTGAGGGTGACTGAAAATACAAAGTCACAAAATTTAACTCCTACTCCAAAAGGCCTGGGCACAAAATAAACCAGAAAGTCACAATGGAGAGGTGAGAATGGAGATCCCCAACCTGTAATTTTTTGATAATTTAATTAGAAATAGATAAAGAGATAAATTGGGCATCTAGGGGATAAAAATTGACAGCCTGCTGGGAGCAAGGAAAAAAATAGTTACAAAGCAAGAGAGAAAATGATGTCATCAGAGAAATGACAATTAGGAGATAAGGGAGTTCAGTGAAGAGAGCAGAGTTTGAAAGCTCTCTAAAGCTGAATTACTTCTGATATGTTTAATGGGCTGCTTTCAAAATAACTGTCTTTCCTAATTGCTTCTACTATAAACTGACACTTATAAAGTTTTCTGTCCCTGATCCATATCTCTCTCTATACTCTGAATCTTACCATTAATGAAAAAGCTTTTTTGTTGAGAATTACTTTAACCAACAAATCTCCAAAACCCAAGAAAACATAACCAAGGATTAATAAACACAAAAAAAAGAAAGAAAAAGAAAAAGAAACTACTTTCATTTTGTTAAAGAGATAGACATCAAAATGAAGAACTAAACACTTGGGGCACTGAGAAAAATGCAGAGAGGTTGACCCAAGCAGATAAATCAGTGGCCCAGTTGGAATCTGAAGCAGATCAATCTGAGTCCAAAGCTTATCCTCCTTCAATTCTTCAGCCTGACTCAAATACAAGTTTAAACTGTTTAGAAAAGGAGAGAAATATAACAGTGTAGGAAAAGACATTCAAAAGAGCAAGGGGTTGGTGGTGCAGCAAACCCATGGCAGAACTAAAGAAACATCTTAAAGCAGGTACATCCACAGAAACACTGTACAAGCGAATGAAAAAGACAGGCAGAAAGTATATCATTTAGTGGCAGAAAGTATATCATTTAGCGGCAGAAAGACACAGACCACCTTAAAACAATTGTCCCCTTTATAGTCTTTAGTGAAATCATTGTTATTTCATTTTATTTTCTATATTTGAAGGATAAATGGCTCCCATCTTCCTCTCCTACAGGTTTTGAGAGTTTTGTTGTTTTGTTTTGGTTTTTGTTTGTTTTTTGTTTTGTTCTGTTTAATTTTTGTTTGTTTGTTTTGGTTTGGTTTGGTTTTTTAGTTGTTGATGGACCTTTATTTTCTTTATTTATATGCAATGTTGAGAATCAGACCTAATGCCTCACCCAGGCTAGGCAAGCGCTCTACCACTGAGCCACAACCTAGCCCACTTGGTTTTGGTTTTTTGTTGCTGTGTTTTTGTTTTTTGTGTGTGAATTCTGTGAGTAGGAGAAATTTTATCCAGGGATAGACTTCACCCACAGCCAGGAGATTTTTATTCCTACTTCCTGATTTGGGGTTCCTAATACTTCAAAGGCTCCCATTTGTCGCTGGCTGGCAACTAAAAAACCACACAAACACAGAAATACCTTTTTGGGGAGTCAGGTACAACTCTTAAGACCTAAGGTGTCAGTTCCCATGCTGACATGGGGAGCAAAGGAGGCTAGAGGCAACAGAGAAAAACCTGAAACCCCCCTATTTATTGGGGATAAGCCATTCATAGAATATGCCACCCAAATAAGGCAAGGGATTGAGTTTCAAAGGGTAGAGTCTTGCTTGGTGAAGTCTTGTGGTCAGCAGGTTGACTGACATCTTGGAAAGCCACACCCATCTCAGGTGCTGTATGGGCTCACAGGCAGAGCGAGAGAAAAGGCATACACACTGTCGTACAGCCCAATCAGGCAGCAACATCAGGACAGTCTCCTCATAAGCTCAAATGCACATACCTCACAGAGATTTGCTGGTGTTCCCCTGGGTGATCTAGATCATTGTCAAAGGGAGGGATCCTAAAGGAAAACACAGCCTATGGATGGCTCGTGATACCCATTCATATTCACTCCCTGTTTTAACATATGCCTCACTGCTCCTGCCACCATCTTTGCCAAAATTATTTTCTGCTAATTCTGATACACATCCATCGAATGTCCCTTCTTAAAACTGGTATAATATCCATTTTTCTTCAAATCTTCCTGAACCTAATTCCATGGACTCAAGTCCATGGACTCAAATCAGAGAATGTGATGAGCTTTCTATCCAGCAGCCTTCAGCTGTGAATATCCCCATGCAGATCTTGATTGCCAAGTTCACATGAGCACACACATCTATATTAGACCTTAGCTTTCTTTTAAAATGTCACTATCTCACTGACTGACCTGCTTTATCACAGTTCTCTGGGAGATAGATACGTATGTACATACATAAGTATGTACATAGAACATAAATGTTAACTGAAACTAAACACTTTAAATTTCTCATCATATATGTATTTTCATTGATTTGATCATTATTTAATTTTATTATTAACATATTAATTGAACATATCAATTGAAAGGAAAGTGAGAAAGTAAGAGATGGGCGAGCGACAAATGAAGGATGGAGACCAGTCAGAGATCCACACAAAGGTTTATTTGTCAAAGGTGACAAATAAAGGCCATCCCTCTATAGAGTGGAGAGAAGCCCCCGAGATGTTTGGGTGTTCAGCTTTTGTGGGGTAGGGGTTTGGAGGTGTAGCTGTGGCGCTATGGGATAGGCTCAGGGGTGCTTGCCTCAGAGCTATGCAGGTGGGGAATAACATGGGATTGGCTTAGGTCAATGGCACCATGGGGCTTTCAAGAGTCAAGGGGTCATGTCCTTCTGGATTGGCTTAGGGTTATGGTATCATGGAGTAGGTCACTAATGGGGGTGGAGGGAGTTCAGGTAAGAGGAAGTACAGAAAAGCGATACTTATCTCACAAGATGGCAGTTAACATTTAAGATGGCTGTTCAGATGTTAAATCAAGACCCTATATCAATGAAGTTCAGTGTGATAGTTCCATACCTACAAACAGTATGCATTGATTATACCCAATCATCCTTTTCCCACCTTCCTCCCCCACAGTGAATTCAGGTTTCTGTTTATTTTTGGTTTGCATTGAATTTTTGTTTGGGGGAGTTATTTGTTTTGATTTGTCTTGTTTGTAGTGCTGGAGATTGAACCCAGGACCTCATGCATGCTAGGCAAGCACTTTACCACTGAACAACATCCTACTCCCAATAACTGAGCTTGGTGATTGGTGCTGTTTCATAGCTGACTTACTTATTCTGAGAACAATTTGCCACAAATATCAAAGTTATATTATATGCTTTTTTCTCTCTTTTCTCCAAAGAAATGCACAATGGGATATTTAAAATGTCAGAATTAGACAAAAGTGTACAATCCCATTGTGACCCTAATGTACTGTTGGAGTTGAATATTGCTGCAAAAAGTTTAAAATGTGGTTTGAAGCCTATTCATTATAAACAGTACAATTTTTTTTCTTTAAAGAAATGGCACCAGAATTTTTAAAGTCTTTGATAATATGAATATATTCTTTTGAATATTAAAAAACCCTTTTTAACTTGTAAATATAAATAAGAAACTAATTTAGGTGGCAAAATAGACATACAATTTGTAATCTGTTCATCAGAAAGAGTTTGAGGATTTCACTGTAAAAAAGCATTCTTGGAGAAATAATGTGAAGATGGACTCAAAGAGAGGATTAAAAAATGATATGTAAAATGTGTGGTATTTTATGAAATCCAAAGTATTATCATGTTTTCTAGGAAAAATGTGGCTTATTTCATTCATTAACCAGTAGCATTTTATTTTTCAGGAACTTTCCATTCAGAAGAAATGCTGTGGCCCTTCTCTTGACCCACAGCAAACGGTGCACAATAAACTGCGTAGCTGAAGAAATTACAGACTCCTCACAAATGAGAGACATTCAAGGCTGCATAGTCTCCAGCTGAAGGAAAATAACCAACAGCTTCTCCGCAGTGTAGATTGGAAGAAGGGGAAGATGAACCTCACAAACTGTACCACAGAAGCCAGCACCACTGTAAGACCCAAGACCATCACAGAGAAGATGTTTATTTGCCTGACTCTGGTGATTATCACCACCCTGACCATGTTGCTGAACTCGGCTGTGATTGTGGCCATCTGCACCACCAAGAAACTCCATCAGCCTGCAAACTATCTAATCTGCTCTCTGGCGGTGACAGACCTCCTGGTGGCAGTGCTGGTCATGCCCCTGAGCATCATGTACATTGTCATGGACAGCTGGAAGCTTGGGTACTTCGTCTGTGAGGTGTGGCTGAGTGTGGACATGACCTGCTGCACCTGTTCCATCCTCCATCTCTGTGTGATTGCCCTGGACAGGTACTGGGCCATCACCAATGCTATTGAATATGCCAGGAAGAGGACAGCCAAGCGGGCTGGACTGATGATCCTCACCGTCTGGACCATCTCTATCTTCATCTCCATGCCCCCTCTGTTTTGGAGGAGCCACCGCCAACTCAGCCCACCCCCCAGTCAGTGCACCATCCAGCATGACCATGTCATCTACACCATTTACTCCACACTTGGGGCATTTTATATCCCCTTGACTTTGATCCTGATTCTCTATTACCGCATTTACCATGCGGCCAAGAGTCTTTACCAGAAAAGGGGATCGAGCCGGCACTTAAGCAACAGAAGCACAGACAGTCAGAATTCTTTTGCAAGTTGCAAACTTACACAGACTTTCTGCGTGTCTGACTTCTCCACCTCAGACCCTACCACAGAGTTTGAAAAGATCCACACCTCCATCAGGATCCCTCCCTTCGACAATGATCTAGATCACCCAGGGGAACGCCAGCAAATCTCTAGCACCAGAGAACGCAAGGCAGCTCGCATCCTGGGACTGATTTTGGGTGCATTCATTTTGTCTTGGCTGCCATTCTTCATCAAAGAGTTGATTGTAGGTCTGAGCATCTACACTGTGTCCTCTGAAGTGGCTGATTTTTTGACATGGCTTGGCTATGTTAATTCTCTGATCAACCCTCTGTTGTACACGAGTTTTAATGAAGACTTTAAGCTGGCTTTTAAAAAGCTCATTAGGTGCCGAGAGCATACTTAGATTGTAAAAAACCCAAAAGTGTGACTTTTACCATAGCTCATGAGTGAACGGGGGTACGGGGTACAGCTTACTAATTCTTGAACATACTTGGTTCAGGAGAGTTTGTAAGTATATGTGGTCTTGTTTGGTTGGTTTCTTTTTCTTTTTTTCTTTTGTTATTTGGTGTGCTGTTTTCTACCTCTGGTCTTATTTGTGGTACCTCATTTCAAATAAACATTATCATATAAAAACAGAAATTATATAGAAATAATAATAAAGTGAAATAGTAGGTACTTTTTGTATATTTTCTCTAGCCATTTCAGGTAATCCTGCAATTAAAGAATGCCCCCATAAATTTATTTGCAGAATTTCTTACTGCTTGTAAATCAAATATCTGATAACTTGCCCTCATGTGGCATTAAATCTGAGGTTATAGCTCTATGTGCATACATATTCCAGCAAGAATTGCATGAATACACAAAGAATAAAAAGAAAGTGGCATTTTGTCATCTGTTCTTGGAGACCTGAGCTAAAATCATTTACTGTGACTACATAGCCTACTCTTTCCAGGCACAAATAGTACATCTGGCATGTTCTCTTTGGTTCATAATTAAATAGGTTTTCTTGTTCTCTAAAAAAGAACATGCAATGATTGCCCTCGCACTTTCTTAACCCCTTTACTATGAATATGAAACATAAGCAAATAAGAAAAATCATCTAAATCTACTTTGGTCAATGCATTGCAGACAGACAAATTAGGCCTTCTCCCAATCCAAAATGTATTCCAGGTGAGCCTCCCATACACCCTCTCACTCTAGCATGATTCAGGTACATGTCAAGTTTGGGGAACTTTTGGAGAAGCTTAACGCAGTGATCAAATGAGAGAATATATTATTTGAAGAATTTTGTTGGAGAATGTTACTCCAAATTTAAATTACTCAATTGAGCACTTGGAAAGAGATAAAAAGTTGAAAATCTGTTTGCAACAAAGGCCACCAATTAGGAAATGAGCAAAAAATTTTGTCTCCCAGAATCTCTGTGGCTTCCACGATAGACTGCACCCTGGAACCAGGAAAGTGCAAGTGGACCTGAAGCCATAGACAGAGTGGGCTGCCTCAGCACCCCTGAGCTAGAGTGACTGTTCTAGTCTTATGGAGGAGCTCACCACTACAAGGTCAAGAGTGATGACAGGAGGACAGAAAACCTGCAAATTCTTGTATACGGCTCCTTGCCTCTCATTAAGGGCCTCTCCCATTTCTTCACTCTTCTGAATTACTGAGAAGGCATGGGTTTGCCTCCTTACCACTTCCATTTAGCCCTTGAATCTATCCCCTCTCAACTTTTCTGTAATCTTGCTCCTTTCCATTCCCCTGTTCTCCCTCCCCCCTCCTCTCCCATCCCACCCTTTTCTTCTGCTACTCTTTTTTGTTGTCATCTATTAACTTTGCTTAAGTCTTTTGATATGAATATCAACTTTCTCTGGCCCTTCATCCCCATCAATCTCCGGCTTCATCTCTTTTTTGTTGTCATCTATTAACTTTGCTTAAGTCTTTTGATATGAATATCAACTTTCTCTGGCCCTTCATCCCCATCAATCTCCGGCTTCATCCCTCTCCTAACTCTTTCGCCTGGGTTTCTTTGATCATTAATCCGCTTATGCCTCTACTTCTCACCTTCCACTGACTTTTCCATCCTTTGCCATCTGAATGCACCTACCCAGTTCTCCTCAATCTGATCCCAATGTCACCAGTGACTTGCCAGTAGGCAAATCCCATGGCTTTCCCTCCCTCCTTATCTATCTATCATTCTTTTATCAATTGAAACATCCCGTTCCTGTTTCAACCCCTGCCTTCTAGAATATTTTGCTCTCCTAGTTACCCAGTTTTCTTCTTACCTCCTCATTCTTTGTCTCCTAATCCTTCATCCTGGGGCTTTGTATCTGTATCTTCATATTCCATCCCAAATTCCACTATTTTAACTATTAGATTCGTGTAACTTTAATTCTGATCTCTCTTTCTCAAACTCCAGACCTGTGAGTTATGTCTGGTGAGCACCTCCCTATGAATATTTTACTGGTACCTCAAATGCAGCCATTCTAAACTAATGCATGATCATCTTCCCACACACAAGATTCCTGCTTCCATTTTATGCCTCAGTCTCAGATAACAGAATTACAATAATTTTTGTCATTCATATGAGGTAAACGTGATTCTCTCTCTTTGTCACAAGCGGGTCTCCACATTCAAATAGTCTTAATGTTTTGTCTATTCGCCTCTATAAAATTTGACATTTGTATATGCCACTTTCTTCTCCAATATTTTTGTCCTTTTCTTATCAGATTAATCTGCCTCTGGACTCCTCCACCTGCAATTCTTTCCCCATATACCTGCCAGAAACATTTTCCTATAGCAGTGTAAGGTTCTCAGAGAGCTATCTCCAGACAAGCAGCATTAACATCACCTGGGAATTTGATAAAAAAATGCACAGTCCAGAGCCTCACTCAAGACCTACTGAATCAGAAATTCTGATAAATAAGTCCAGCAATCTTTATTTTAATAAAAATCTCCATGAGATTCTAATACACACTAAAGTTTGAGAGTCAGTATCTTAAAGTCTACTGTTGATTTTAAATTGCAATTCTTAAAATGCTCTACTCGTTCCCCATCAGTAAAAAGTTAAGGTTTCTAGTATAACATCCAAGGCCCCTTCACTAGGTAACCTCAAACTACCTTCCTAGAGTCCTATCTCACCACTTCTTCCTATGCACCTCATACTCCATACTCCAGAAAGTTCTGAATATTACATGTGCTTCCTAAGCTCCCCTAGCTTCATTTCTGAGCCCACAACTCCCAGGCTTTCTCCACCAATACTTCAACATGCTCAAATTCAATCTCTTGTCTAAAAGTCTTCCTGAGAACCTCCTCCTTCTTTCCCTGTCCCTAAGGAAGTCCTCTCTCACAGCTCTATGCTCCACAGAACCTCACTTGTACTTTTATGATTATATGTATCCTATCTTCCAGTGTACTTGTTTGTGTTGTGTACTGTCTTCTCTGGTAGATTGTGAGCTCCTTGAGAGCAGAAACTGTGCCTACTTCCTCTGTGTATCCCTATGGACTCTTATAGTGTTTTACACACAGTAGGCATTCAATAAATGTCTGTTAATGTGAATGAAATTAAGTTCAGAAAAGGAAATGTAAATGTGCTGACTTCTCTCACTAAGGAGATCGAACTTCTAAATCTCATGGTGCAATACTGACATCCTTCATCCCTAAAACATAACCCTACTATCCTAGTTTGTTCCAAAAAAAATTGGGGGATGACTGATATATGAAAAGAAAATGGATTTCTCACTGAATATAAGTGAATATCTTTTATTGGTTAGAACTCCAGCTAAGCTGCTTATGCACTCGTTCTCTCTCTCTCTCTCTCTCTCTCTCTCTCTCTCTCTCTCTCTCTCTCTCTCTCTCTCTCTCCTAAAAAGCCTTCCAAATATAATGGCTTAAAAAAGCAGAAGCTTCTTTCTCTCACCCATGACAGTCAAGAGATAGAAGGGCATCTTAGAACAAGTGCTCCATAAGGTTATCCACAGGGACTGAGGTTCCTTCCATCTTGTGGCTCTGCCTTCCCCATGGGGCTGATCTTCATCTGCATGGTCAAAGCTGACTCTACATCACACCCATGTTCCTGTTCACAAGAAAGAAGAGAAAGAAGTGGACAACAGATGACTTTCTTCTCCGGAAGTTGTGTGGAAATTGTGCACATCACTTCTGCTTATATCCCATTGGTTATTTCTTGGTCACATGGTCACACCAAGTCAAAAGAAGGGCAAGCAAGGAAATTACCTAGCTGTGCAGGCATATACTTTGCTAAAAATAATCAATTGGACTTTAGAATTAAAAGAGGAAGTTTAGAATGAAAACAAGTTGACAATGAGCAGCCTCGGCCATGAGGGGATATTGGTTTCTACAAGAACAGCTCAAATAGTACTGAGCAAGTCACATGGCTGCCCAGCTAGTGATGATCTATGTACAGGGATGCTGATATTCAATTCTAGATGATTTAACCTAGATTATGCATATGCTGAAAATCCAATATTTATCATGTCTATTAATATCTAGGAAGTATATAAGCAAATCACAGTGCTTTCATATCATCCTTGAAAATCTTGACAATTATAAGAGTTTAAAATTTTAAGAATCTAAATAAATAAAAAGCAAAAAGCAGATGCATAACTAATTTCACTTGCTCATTTTCACTTATTTCCAAATTACTTATTTCAATCACAAGTATTTCTGCCCTTACTAAAGAAATAACTGCATGTATTTCCTAATATAAAAAACTTGCTGGGGAAAAAATGTTATTTGGTTTGCTCATTTAACCAATAGTGCCATTTGCTATTGATGACTATTTCCCTTTAAATTAAAAGCCTAAGTGAAGTTAACAGTACCTTCTGGTATGCAAATATTAATCTGTTAAAAGTAAGCCCCAGGGGTGATAGATATGTCAATTGTCACCATTAGAAATTAGAACTCTGTGTGTGTGTGTGTTCATGTGTGTGTGTGTGTGCATTTTTTTTTTATTTTTTTTAGTTGTCAATGGACTTTTATTTATTTATATGCAGTGCCAAGAATCAAACCCAGTGCCTCACCTATGCTAGGCAAGCACTCTACCACTGAGCCACAACCCCAATCCCATGTGTATGCATATTTTAAGACACAGTCTGTGTTGCCCAGGCGGGTCCCAAATTCCTAGAGTTAAATGATCCTCCTGCTCAGCCTCCCAAGTAGCTAGTACTACAGGTACACATCACTTTACCCAGCTCAGTTTTAGGATGTAAATCACTCCCAGATAGAACTGGCAGATTCTTTAGTTATATCTGGTTGCATTAAGAACTCCTGTTTGCATTACTGCCACTGTTTGCTTTGGGTAGTAGTGTAGGTTTTCTAAACTTATGGACTTTGGTGTGCAAACTTTGCTAATGACCTATGAGGTAAGTTCCCAAACAAGATTCAGCAACTGAGCTGGCTACCAGCATGAGGCATAAAGATTCAACCATCACATTGGTCTTATTCTACTAAGATGTGTTTGCTGTCTTTGCTTAGTTTTTAAGGTTTTCTACACACTACTTTCACCTCCATTATATACTGCATTTGCAAAAACAGTGAGAACATCAGGGAAGTCAGTAAAAAGAAGCATATGACTCTAAGAGAAATACAAGGCAACTTCTGAAGTAAAAGTACAGGAAAAATAACAACCATTGCATGGGCCACCTGAATCCACCATTTTTCAGTTTTCATGGGTCAATTCACTTACAATGTGAAAGTCATTGTGCCTAAATTATCAACTATAATCAATGGGAAAGAAGAAAAATTGATTAATGAGATGGGAAAATGTCTGAGCACCACACAGTTGTTTTAAACGGTTTTAGGTTTATATGAAGGCATTTTAGTTATCTCCTATAGAAAATAGTAATGACATTTTATGTTGATTCAAGGAGGCTAAATCCTGAAATGTGAAGGCAGTCTCAATAAAGAATTGCCCCATCCAAAATATTGATATCCCCACCTGCTGAGAAACTTAGAAGTATCAGCATCAACACAAGATGTCCAGAAACTTGACATTAATTCAGGAGTTAGGGAGCAGTTATTTCATAACTTAAAGATTAAAAATTATATACACATACACACACACACACACACACACGTGTTGCTTATAAAGTTCTATTGCACATCATGAAATTTGAAATTCAAATTCAATTTGAATTTTCCCAACATCAAAGTGAAAGTCCAGCAAACAAATACAGACCACATCAGTTAGTTTCCCCCGACACTGGCAAATATAATTAAAAGAGGTAAAATAAAATAGCTATCAACAAAGATAAATATATGCATGATATTAATGCTTCCAAAGACTGACTCTCATCCTTGTTTGTTGGAAAATCTTCCAAAGACTGAATAGGAACTCAACAAAGTGACTCACACTTGGAATCAAAGGGGAATTATGGATACCTTTTCAGATCTTAAATTGTTTGTAAACTGAAGAATTTTTCTTAAATTGAAGAGGAAGCAAGAATTCTATTTACTCAAAAATTCTCAAATAATGATGTTCTGAAGTGGAATCTCACACACCTGTCAATAGAAAGAGACATTTCAAATGGTAGAAAGAAAGACATTGGATATTACTGGGACTCCTCTTCAGTTAACCAGAGGTCCTCCTGTCTCCCCATGAACCACACCCCAAATAATATACAACAGGCTTCAGCCTATCAATTTAAAAAGTTTCAAATTATTTCCTTCAGTATAGGAATCACTCTGAGGAAAGAATTGCTTCAGAAAAAAATTATCTACTGGTTCCCTGAAAGTACCTAGCACAGAGCATGTTGTGTAGTGGCATTCAACTTATACATGTTTGTTGACTCTAATTGAAATGGATACATTGATTATAAACAAAAAATTTAGAAGTAGAACTACATAATAAGTAAGGAAGGTACCTTCTCATATGGAAGCAGAGT